TCATTTAACTCCTAGTACTCCTACTTTTTCATATTGTAATTTTATCACAAGTTGAATTCGGCACTTGATGCTTTAACGCCCTCTACGGGGATGAAGTAACGTACAATCTTGCTTCGTTAGTAACTAGTTTTAGCGCTAGCCGTAAAGATTTGGAATTCTATTTTAAAAATTCAATCTTATTAAGAGGAGTAATCCAAGTCCTTATAAATTGATCTATATTTTTATCTTTATTCGATGTTAGATTTTATTCATTAATATGCCTCCGCAAGTTGATGTCTCGTTTGAGCAATCCAATCTTAAAATCCGCATGCTCGAGTCTTTAATCGGATCGAGTTGCTCATTAAAGCTTGAAATGCTCTAATATCATGTTAGGATTTTGAATTTCATCTTAAAACGTACCTTATTAAGAGAAGTAGCCAAAATCCTTATAAATTAATCTATATTTTTTTTCTTTATTCGATGTGAAATTTTATCCCTTAAGACACGTGCACTTTTAAGCTAATGTATTATGTTTTCTATTTCGTCTGATGTTGGTGATGATCTTGCTTAATGAGAATGTCTGTGTTGACATACAAAAAATAAGGCCCAATTGAATAAGGCCTAATGGTCAAATGAGGTCCAATTATTAAGTCAAGCTCAATTATGTGGTCCAAGAAATGGAGCTCAGTTAGAGAAATTGAGGAATGAGCCCAAATAAGACCATTGTAAGATATAAGGACAGCCCACGAGCAGACGACTATCATCGGCCAAGCCTATAGAGCGCTTAGGATCTGAGCGAATGAAGTATCCCAATGTCGCTCAGAGCGACGGTCTCACTCTCGCCCAAGCCTTCGAGACGCCCAAGGTCTGAATGAATATAACGTTTTATTTAGTCATTGAAGCGGTTATTGAGTAACCTTATCACGTCCCACGATCCAAGAATCTCGGTTACAAGTGGTTAAACAACAAGAGCACTAACAACAGTTGTTAACGGCAGTTCCTTGACAAATCAACAATCACGAAGAAAGTGGATAGTTATAGAGCAGTTTCCAAGCAGTTTTTCAAGAGGAAATTAGCAAATGAGTATAAAAAGGAAAAGAAGACATAGAAGAAAAGACCTCGAATCAAACACTCTCAACAGAGAATATGTAATTTCATTTCTTAGTCAACTTTAAAATATTTATTCTTAGTATTCATGTGCTTGTGCCCTTTGGAGGCATACTATTTCTTTCCAATTTAATCTTCATCAATAAAGCACCCATTTTTGAGAATTTGTCCTAAGAGGTTTGTTCCTTACACAATCGTCTGAACCTTTCTTTAATTGTTAGCGACAACCCGCGTGAAATAATTTGGCACATCCAGTGGGACATTGGTGTTTGAAAATATGAAAAGTGAAGTATTATGTACCATAAGAATTTTGATAAAGAACCAATAAGCCAAGGAGTAGTCCAATTTATGATCGAGCGATATGAAGAGTAGTAAAGCTCTCCACGTATAGAGGGACAAACAATCAAAGTCGTATGAACCAATGACGGAGTTGAGTCCTTGAACCATGTGCGCATTGCTTGCAGAACTCATACAGAATGTTGTTGAACAGGTAAATCTACGAAATGTTCACAATATGGAAAAAGTTACCCAAAATGGGAATACACATTATGACAATATAGCCAAACAACTAAATACTTTGAACAAAATCATGAACAAATTAGTTGGCCAAATATGTCAACCAGTTGTACCCATAGGGAGTCACTTTCAAACCAGGACGATTGTGGGACATAATTCACCATATAATTCTCCTGGCTTGAACCCAAATCAAGGATTAGAACTACCTTGGGTCTGTCTATTTCAAATTAGGGGGTAGTGGAATGCTAAACTTGAATGGTGGTAATAAGATTACAAACCTGGGGGGTAATCTAAATATAAGAGACAATGTCCTGAATAATGGGCAGAACGTCCCGCGTGTTAATGATAGAGTAAATACTCAGGCTAACGGTAATAATGGCCAAACAATGGCAATTTTGTTGCCAACCAAAGACCAATAATTAGGCCTCAAGCAAATCAACCAATAAACCAACCTGTAGGAATTTCATATGATCCCAACGTCATGTTGAGGAATCAAATCATGGAGATAGTACAAACAAATAACTTTTGGGGTACGTCCCGTCATTAGACCGACTTACACAAAGCCATATCTTGATTAGGTAGATCAAGCATATCCGTGGTCTAGAGGGTACCAAGTGCCAGAATTTTCATTATTCACTGATTTAGGAGAAGTGTCTACTCTGGAACATACAGGGCGATTTACACTACAAAGCGGTGAAGCACTTGACTATCATAAAATGAAGCTGTTCCCTAGTTCATTAACAGGAGTAGCTTTCTCCTGATTCATTAATTTTCTAGCAAACTCTATTCAAACATGACAATAACTGGAATAATTGTTCTATACTCAGTTTTATAAGACTGAATCTAAAGTCACTTTGGCTGATTTGGCGAATTTACGTCAAATGTCAAACGAATGGGCAGAATGTTTCTTTCAAAGGTTCAAAACAGCCAGGAGCAAATGTTTTGTACCTCTGCCCGAGAAAGAATTCGTCAAAATCACTCAGAGCTGTTTGTGCTTCGATCTGAAAAAAAAAATGAGGATAGAGAATTTCCTGATCTTTTCCAATTTAGTGCGAATGTGATTAGGTATGAATGATTAATAAGAGAAGAAGAATAAATGAAAATTTTTAGTAAAGGGACTTATTATAAAGACCCAAATTTTAACGTACATACTATTAAAGACGAATATTACGATCAAAATGAAGTATGAT